CATGTGTTTCCCACTTAGAGAAGTTCCTTTGGCATTTGTTGTAGAGCTGGTTTGGTGGTACTGAATTCTCTTAGCTTTTGCTTGTCTGTAAAGCTTTTGATTTCTCCATCGAATCTGAGTGAGATCCTTACCAGATAGAGTAATCTTGGTTGTAGGTTCTTCCCTTTCATCACTTTAAGTATATCATGCCACTCCCTTCTGGCTTGTAGAGTTTCTGCTGAGAAATCAGCTGTTAACCTTATGGCAGTTTCCTTGTGTGTTATTTGTCATTTTTCCCTTGCTGCTTTCAGTAATTTTTCTGTGTCTTTAATTTTTGCCAGTTTAATTACTATGTGTCTCAGCGTGTTTCTCCTTGAGTTTATTCTGTATGGGACTCACTGCACTTCCTGGACTTGGGTGGCTAGTTCCTTTCCCATGTTAGGGAAGTTTTCGACTGTAATCTTTTCACATATTTTCTCTGGTCCTTTCTCTCTCTCTTCTCCTTCTGGGACCCCTGTAATGCGAATGTTGGTGTGTTTAATGTTGTCCCAGAGGTCTCTTAGGCTGTCTTCATTTCTTTTCATTCTTTTTTCTTTATTCTGTTCCGTGGCAGTGAATTCCATCATTGTGTCTTCTAGGTCACTTATCCATTCTTCTGCCTCAGTTATTCTGCTGTTGATTCTTTCTAGTGTATTTTTCATTTCAGTTATTGTATTGTTCATCTCTGTTTGTTTGTTCTTTAATTCTTCTAGGTGTTTGTTCTTTAATTCTTCTAGGTCTTTGTTAAACATTTCTTGCATCTTCTCGATCTTTGCCTCCATTCTTTTTCCAAGGTCCCAGATCATCTTCACTATCGTTATTCTGAATTCTTTTTCTGGAAGTTTGCCTATCTCCATTTAGTTGTTTTTCTGCGGTTTTATCTTGTTCCTTCATCTGGTACATAGTCCTCTGCCTTTTCATTTTGTCTGTCTTTCTGTGAATGTGGTTTTTGTTGCACAGGCTGCAGGACTCTGTAGTTCTTCTTGCTTCTCGGGCTTGCCTTTTAACGAAACCAACTTCAGTGTATTTCTCAGGAAAGAATCACAATGCAAAATAAATATAAATTGGAGCTGGTGAATAAAGCTTTGTTAATCATGGGGAAGAGCATTACTATGTTTTGTCAAGTAATTTTAACAGCTGTATTCTGTGCTTATGTGGAATATTTTTATTTTGTCTCCATATTATATGGCCTCAGATATTTGTATTTAGAGTTACTCATATGCATTATGAATTTATTTTCTTCCTTAGGTTTCTTTAAGTTTGATTCTCCCCCCCCTCAGGTTTTTAGTGTATGCAAGTAGGTTTTTCAGTTTGCATACCCATACTGCCTCACCATCAACAGTGGTTTTGGTATCAGATTAACAATTGGACTCATGAGACAAGATAGGCTTCACTCAGCACTAAGCTTATTTATCATTAAGAAAGGATATAGGACAGAAAACAGCACAGCTTGAACAGCAGCGTCATATTAGAGATGTCATGAGTTCTAGGCAGAGCTTGCATATATCCTAGGCATCTCAGCTTAATAGGTTCGTGGTCCTGAGGAGCATGACTGGGTGACGAAGACTACCTAATAAGTTCATTGAAGGTATTACCTCTTGAGTTCCTTCAGCTTTTATACCTTGTTCCCATTTTCCAGTTCAGCAGCATCTCTTCGGTATCAGAGAAATAATCTTAACAGTGAACCACAGACCCTTGGGCAAGTACACAGTGACTCCAGCCAGATTCTCATTTATCTCTGTAACTCAGTACACTCCTATAAATTCTGAGTTAAGAGTTTCAAGAGGGACTTCCCTGGTGGTGCAGTGGTTAGGAATCCTCCTGCCAATGCAGGGGAGGGACACTGGCTCGATCCCTGGTCCGGGAAGATCCCACACGCCGTGGAGCTTAGAACTAAGCCCGTGTGCCACAACTACTGATCCTGTGTGCCACAACTGCTGAAGCCTGCACGCCTAGAGCCTGTGCTCCGCAACAAGAGAAGCCACCACAATGAGAAGCCTGTGCACCACAATGAAGAGTTAGCCCCCACTCATCACAAGTAGAGAAGGTCCCAGTGCAGTCATAAATAAGTAAATAAGTTTCAGGAATAATTTGGCCAAGTGCCAACCAAGTGCCAAATCCTCAGGTGTTCTGAAGCTAACAGAAAGGTTACAAACCAGCTGTTAACCCTTTCAATTAAGGTCTGTAAACAGCCAACAGTCAGTCCAAAGATATTTTCTTTGTCCTCTTTGATATTTTTTTAATTATGGAAAATACTAACATATAGAAAAGTGATTGAAATTGTATAACAAATCACCTATGTTCATTACCCATCTTTACCAGTTAATTTATGGCTAATCTCATGTTACCTGTCCTTGGACAGTTCTCCATTTCCTGTTTGAAGCAAATTCTAGGCATAACATTTTATTGATAAATATTTCACTATCTCTAAAAGGTGACTGTTTTGAAAAAAATAACCGTACCATAATCATATGCAGACATATATACACATATGTTCCTAAATGTCAGAAATCCTTACAGTGTTCAAATTTCTAATTGTTTAGTTAATGTTAATTTTTTGATGTTCGAATTTGAATCCAAATCAGGTTCAAACATTTGGGTTGGTGTTGTAAATTTTTTTTGTTTTTAATAGATTATCCCACCATTTCTTTTTATGTTTCTTGAGATTTATTTGTTGAACAAGCTAGGTCATTTGTCCTGTAGTGTTTCTTTCCCATTATTGCACACACTGAAGTTTACGGATTGCATCCTTCTGTTATGTAATGTGTTCCTTCTGTGCTTCTGTTTCATATATCTTTGTAGTTAGATCTAGAAAATGGATCAGATATAGTTTTGATTTTTTTAAATTCTATTTGATGGGAGCAAGAGTCACTTAGGACAGGTTGTCTCTGTGCTCTGCAGTGGCCATTGGTGGGCAGTGCCTCCTTAGGAGTTGTGAAATGGTGATATTCTAACTCTGTAATTCCTTATTCATTTATTCTTGGAGTACTTTTGATAAAGAGCATCTTCCCTTCATCTTCTATTTGGTTAGCCAGTGGAACAGTTCATATACGATAAGAAGGATAAATGATTTATATTTTATTTACCTATATCATTATGAACTGATGGATTCTAATGTATTTTCTGTTCCACTGTATTGTAGTTATCCATATATCAATATTGTCCCAGCTTTAGCCTGAATTCACTTACTTCTTTTTTAATTAAGGCATAATGGACTGAAAATATCCTATTGATTTCAGGTATACAACAGTGATTTGATATTTTTATACATTACAAAATGATCACCATAATAAGTCTAGTTATTCTCTGTCACCATACAGAGATATTACAATATTATTGACTATATTCCCTGTGCTCTACACTACATCCCTATGACTTATTTTATAACTGGAAGTTTGTACCTCTTAATCCCATAAACCTATTTCCCCACCCCCTTAATCGCCTTCTCCTCTGGCAACCACTAGTTTCTTCACTGTATCTATGAGTCTGTTTCTGTTCCGTTATGTTTGTTCATTTGTTTTGTTTTTTTTAGATTCCACATATAATTGAAATCACACAGTATTTGCCTTTTTCTGTCTGACTTATTTCACTTAGCATAATACCCTCTAGATCCATCCATTTTGTCACAAGGGGTAGGAGGTCCTTCCTTTTTTATGGCTAAGTAATATTCCATTGCGCGTGCACGCGTGTGTGTGTGTGTGTGTGTGTGTACACGCGCTACATCTTCTTTATCCATTCACATATCGATGGACGCTTAGGTTGCTTCCATATCTTGGCTATTGTAAATAATGCTGCAGTGAAGGTTGAGTTGCATATATCTTTCAGAATTAGTGTTTTAGTTTTTTTTGGATAAATACCCAGAAATAGAATTGCTGGGTCATATGGCACTGCTATTTTAACTTCTTGAGGATCCTCCATGCTACTTCCCATACTGGCTATATCAATTTACATTCTCACAAACAGTGCACAAGGGGTCCCTTTTCTCCACATCCTCGCCAATGCTTGTTATGTGTTGTCTTTTTGATAATAGCCATTCTGACAGGTGTGAGGTGCTATCTCATTGTTTTGATTTGCATTTCTCTGATGATTAGTGATGTTGAGCATCTTTTCATGTGCCTGTTGGCATCTGTATGTCTCCTTTGGGAAAATGTCTATTCAGGTCCTCTGCCCATTTTTTAATCAGATTGTTGAATTCACTTCTTTAAGTCCACCATGGTTGGAATTAGAATACTGTTAGGTTGGCGAAGCTCTGTCCAGTCAGTCATATCTTCCTCCATTTCCTGGTTAACCTCACTTATTTCTGTTAGTTTCCTCATCCTTAAAGCATTTGAGTTTTGGGACCCCTTTTAAAATTAAACTTCCTTAACCCAAAATAAAATTTAAATTTGAAATTACTTTTTGTAGAGACCCCAAAACATATTTATTAATCATTGGCAAATGACTACCACTACCCCCTGTTGTAAGTCTGCTGTTCAGCCAAAGCTAAATTTCTTAATCATTAGAGGAATACTCAGGCATTGAATAAGCCTATGCCAGTGGAATCGTGTTTCTTATCTTTCCACATTCATGCATAGTATTTTTTCTATTACTTCTCTCCTACAGTTGTACTTCCAATATTGATAATAAGAGAAAAAGTTGAAAACCACAAAAAGATTAGAATCTGGGATTCTTGAGTGTTATTTCTATGCCTTTAAAAAAGTATGTTATTCGTATGATTCCTAAAATTAACTTAGTTTAATGTTTTAGATTTACCTATTACTTTTCCAGAATTCTTTAGATATAAATATAACTCTGACCCTTGAGTCTGGAGATCTGGATTCTAATCTTGAGTCTTAACTCCTTTCCTGTGCCCCTCAGGTCAAATAGCTGGATGAGCTAAGTGTTAAATACTGGACTTTGAGAATCTGCAAAAAAAATCTAAACTTCCACTTACAAAGTTTGTCTAAAAAGTGTTCACCAAACCGTTCTGCTTTTTATTAAAGCTAGGAAAGAAGAAAAGAAAAGGCATAAATCCTCCTCCTCCTCATCATCATCATCCAGTGACTCAGATAGTTCAAGCGATTCTCAGTCCTCTTCTGACTCTTCTGATTCTGAAAGTGCTTCTGAAGAGAAATCAAAAAAAAGAAAGAAGAAACATAGGAAAAATTCTCGTAAACACAAGAAAGAAAAGAAGAAGCGAAAGAAAAGCAAGAAAAGGTCTTAATTTACTTTTACAGTACTGACTTTGTATTCTAATTCCCTTCTGTTTATATATAAATCTATTGGGATTTTGGATCAATTATATGGAACATGAAAATAGTGAGAAATGTTTCATAGCATGAAGTATAAGACCATTTTGATATTCTACAGTGTATAGATTAAATTTGGGAACATTCATTTTAATTTTCAACTAAACCATTCAGTTCATTTTGTCTGAATTCAATGACCTTTTGGTTATGTAGGTTTGTATTTTATGGGAGGAATATAAGATTAGTGAGAATTATAGGAAACCAATGACTGTTTTCTTATTTTCTGTAGCAGTCTCTCGCTTTTTTGTTCTTTATTTTTTTTCCTCCTATGATAGCATAGGGTAGAAAGCAGATAATGTCAGCGTATTTCTTTTCTTTCCTGTTTTGTCTGAAATAATCTATGGTTGTACTAAAACTCATCTTTATAAACCTGTTGCCTCTAAAGCAGTTTCTTTATATTTTCAAGTATTTTAAATTTATCAGAGGGCATTGCACATGAAGTATCATATTTTGGTTCCATTTTATTGGAAAATATTTTTTGAGAATGTGATAACAGAAACATTTGGTTTTGGTTTTTGGTTGGTTTGTCAGAGGAATGCGTATTTTCCCCATGTAATTGCATTTTTGGTCAGAGATGGGGGACAGAATGATGCATATATTGTACATATTACAAAGGAAAGAAATACCAACAATTGGAAAATCGGGGTAGGTACATAATAACCAAGTGGAATTTGTTGTGTGTGTTTCTTTTAAAGCGCATCTAGTGAAAGTGAGGCTGAAAATCTTGAAGCACAACCCCAGTCTACTGTTCGTCCAGAAGAAATCCCTCCAATACCTGAAAATAGATTCCTAATGAGAAAAAGTCCTCCTAAAGCTGATGAAAAAGAAAGGAAGAACAGGGAGAGAGAGAGAGAGTGGTATGTGAATATGTTTATTTTATAAAGTGCCCTACATTCTCTACCACAGAACCTTTCTTTTTTAAAAAACCATTTTTGCTTATTTTAGATAAGATTTAATTGGTGACCTTGTCCCAAGATTGAAATTTCTTAATAGGATAATGTTAGCAAGGCTCCTTTTTGCTAACCACATAGCTGAAAAGATAAATTGACTTAATTCAGACAGATTTTTGAATAAAAGTTACATTAATTAAAAAAAAAAGCACTGCAAATGGCAAAAAGATATTGTTAAGTGGCATTCCAAACAAACTCCATTTAAAACAAGTGTTTTACTCTGTTATTTGTATACATTAAACTTTTAAGCAAGTAAGAACCTTTATTTTTCAGTTTGTCTGATGGGGGAAAATGCTGTTTTCCTTGCCTGGTTTACAATATTGTGGTATTGAAAATTGACAGCATATTCAAGTACTTTGAAAATTTTTCTACATAAGTTCACATTATTAGTATTAGAAGTTGTTGGTTCTTTATGAATCATTTTAATAATTATGTCCAAAGATAGATAAAAAGATGGGTATCTTTCTCTTATTTATAATTGGAAATAATGTATTTAAAAGTGGTAAAATTCTGAACATTCTCCCTATACTTTCACAATACAGTAAAAATATAAAAGTAAGTCTTGGTTACTTGAATTGGGATAATTTTGATGGATTGGATTGAGTTTACTCAGTTAATAGGAAATTGTGTTTCCAAGGAAGTAAACATTAAGGAGAAGATATTTGAACTACTTTAGAATGCATTTTTCAGATATAACATACACAGATATTGTTAGTGCTAATTAAATATTAACTCATTATTATTTGAAAATAAATAGTTTCCCTTTCTGGTATAAAGCATGATATTAAACATTTTGCTAATTCAGACCATCTTGTCTCTGTTTAATTCACATTAATTACATTTCTCTATAGTTTTATTACCAGTGAACAACTGCTTATAGGATAGTAAGATACTTTAGAATCAGATAGCTTTAAAATTGTTCTCTCAACAGCATGTAGCCTACTCTGAGTTCCTTAGCACTATCAAGTTGACTTCATCTTAGTGATGATTATATAACAGTGTTTCTCAACAGGACACAGTTGGCATTTGGGAACAGGATAGTTCTTCATCTACACACATTACACGATTTTAGCATTCCTGACTTGTCACTCGGTACCAATAGCACCCTCTAGTCATTGACAGTTGTAAAAATGCTCCCATACTTTTCCAGATAACTACTAGGATTGATAACATTCCTGGTTGAGAACCACTGATTATATATGTAAGTCTTTAAATTTATTAGTTTAGATCAGTAAAGCTATGTTCTCCAGATTTATTTTTATAAAATAATGTTTTTTAATTTTCCCTCTGCTTCCTTCTAGTAATCTACTTAACTCCCAGCCTGCTTCATACCAGAGGCGACTTTTAGTTACTAGGTCTGGCAGGAAAATTAAAGGAAGAGGACCAAGGGTAGGTGATTCTTTTCCCAGAAGTCCTAATAGTATTGCATTTATCTTAAATAATCCTAGAGTGTTTCTTAAGTATTGTTTTATACATAAGTAGTTAAAATTTAGAGTAGATACGGATGATGAATTATATGTTCTCTTTTTATAGTAACTTCTTTGTGTTGGTTCTTCCACATTGAAAATCCATGGGATGTTAATGGATTTTACATGTACATGGTATAAAATGAGATTGAGGTCTTTCTTGTACCCCTTTGTTACTTCCTGACCACTGTGTCCCTATGCTTGTTAAAAATTGACCCTATTCTTATATTTCATACTCTTTCTCTTCACTGGATTCTCCTCATCAGAATTTAAATATCTTCTTGTTTTTTCAAAACTTTTAACCAACGTGGCTATACTTAGTATATTATTTCTTCACTTCCTACTCGTTCCTCAGCCATTTCAGTTTGTCTTCTGCCATTCTGCTGAAAACAGCACTTGCTTTATGGTCAGTTCCAAGTCACAGAATCCATTGGATCCTTTCAGTCTTTGTCTTATTTAATCTCCCTCCTTGTAATACTCTTTTCCCTTTGCTTCCATCATCTTTTCTTCCTGTCTCTGGCCAGTCTGTCTTAAATTTCCAATGCTAGTTCATGCTCTTCTACCTGATGTTTAAATATTGTAGTACCTCAGGGTTCTAACTCTTCTCACTCTGCATATGCTTCTTGGGCAATATAATCACTCTCGTAACTTCACTGGGTACCTGTATGCTGATAACTGTCAGTTTTTCATCTGCCTTTCTGGCATCAAAGGTTTATTTGATAACCATTTAGGTGCCTAATGGGCACTTTAAACTCATCATATACAATGGTAAGCCTAAACACTTCTTCAGGCCTGACCCTCCTTTAGATTTCTGGTCTCAGTGACAGACACTACCACCTGTGCAAGCACTTAAACCTGAAGCCCAAGAATCATTTTGTTTCTCCCCTTTCTTTCCTACCTTATATAACTTATCCATCACCAAATCCTGTCTGTTTGACCTCAACCTCCTAAATACTCTGAAATCTATCTGCTTCTCTCAAGCTCCACTCCTGCCATCTTAGTTCAGTTCACCATTGTATATTCTCTGAACTATAAATGGCTTCCTAACTATTCTCATGTCAGTTCTCAAACTTTTTTGTCTTCGGACCTCTTTACACTCTTAAAAATGAGGATTCAAAAGAGCTTTTGTTGATGTGGGATATAGCTATCGATATTTACTGTTTTAGAACTTAAACCCAAGACATATTTAAAACAAGAACATATAAACACACATTTCATTAGCAATGAAAGCAAAGATATCAAACCACATTATGCCTCATTGATTTCCTACCTGAAAATTGGGAAATTTAGTTATTTTAGAAGGCATGGAAATATCAGACATTTTTATGAACCTAGAAATATGTACACTTTAGCAATTGTTATAATGCTTTTATATTTTTATATATTAATTTTTCCCCTCTTTTTTTAAAGCGTTATCGAACTCCTTCTAGATCCAGATCCAGGGATCGTTTCAGACGTAGTGAGACTCCTCCACATTGGAGGCAGGAGATGCAGAGAGCTCAAAGAATGAGGGTATCAAGTGGTGAAAGATGGATCAAAGGGGATAAGTAAGATTTAACTCTTATTTCAAATGTAGTAACAAGTATTTTTTTAACTATTTAAAATTATTTCATTTAAAGCCATTTCAATTGTTTCTGAATGTCTTAAGGAAAATAGAATATCATTTCAGCAATAATGGACACCACTGTTTTCCTAATAAAGTTTCCCCAAAACTTTTTTTCTTCATTTTTTAGGAGTGAGTTAAATGAAATAAAAGAAAATCAAAGAAGCCCAGTTAGAGTAAAAGAGAAAAAAATAACTGATCATAGGCATGTTTCTGAGAGTCCAAACAGAAAAAGTGAAAAGGAAAAGAAAGTTAAAGATCATAAATCTAACAGCAAAGAGAGAGACATCAGAAGAAATTCAGAAAAAGATGATAAATATAAAAACAAGGTAAAGAAAAGGGCCAAATCGAAAAGTAGGAGTAAGAGCAAAGAGAAATCCAAGAGTAAGGAAAGAGATACAAAGCATAATAGACATGAAGAAAAGAGGATGAGGTCAAGGAGTAAAGAAAGGGATCATGAGAATGTTAAAGAAAAAGAAAAGTCTGATCCTAAAGGAAAAGATCAGGAAAGGAGTAGAAGTAAAGAGAAGTCTAAACAGTTAGAATCCAAAAGCAATGAGCATGATCATAATAAAAGTAAGGACAAGGACAGACGTGCACAGTCTAGGAGTAGAGAACGCGATGTAACTAAAGGCAAACACAGTTACAATAGTAGAACAAGGGAACGAAGCAGAAGTAGGGAGAGGAGCAGAAGAGTGCGGTCTAGAAGCCATGACCGAGATCGCAGCAGAAGCAAGGAGTATCACAGATACAGAGAACAGGAGTACAGGAGAAGAGGAAGGTCACGGAGCCGAGACAGAAGAGCAACGCCAGGAAGATCAAGAAGTAAAGACAGGAGGAGAAGGAGGAGAGATTCACGGAGCTCAGAGAGAGAAGAAAGTCAAAGCAGAAACAAAGAAAAATACAGAAACCAAGAAAGTAAAAGTTCACACAGAAAAGAGAATTCTGAGGGTGAGAAGAGAATGTACTCTAAAAATCGTGATCATAGTAGCTCAAATAGTAACAGGGAAAAAAAGGCTGATAGAGATCAAAGTCCGTTCTCAAAAATGAAACAAAGTAGTCAGGACAATGAATTAAAGTTCTCAACTTTGAAAAATAAGGAGGATGAGAAGACCAGATCCTCAGTGGAAAAAGAAAACCAAAAATCAAAGGGTCAAGAAAATGACCACACACATGATAAAAATAAAAAATTTGATCATGAATCAAGCCCTGGAACAGATGAAGACAAAAGTGGATGAATGAGGTATATAAACTTATTTCCATTCTGTCTCAAATTTTAAGTTTTAGAGACTTGCTGATGAATCCCCTTTATGTTGTTTTCTTTTCATTGTTTTGGGTTTATGTTTGTCTTTTTTTTTTTTTTTTTTTCCAATGTGGACTTTATTGAGTCGATCTTTTGATAATCTGCAACCTGGATAATTTGTACTGCAAAAGTTTTAATAAACTTGAAATGAGAAAAACACTTTGGTGTAATACTGTGTGCTGTGTTTAACTATTTCATGTATGCATTTTTGTGTTGCAACAATCAGCCAGTAGCAAACATGCTATTCTACACCCTGATTTGTGTGATCGGCCAGTTGGAAACAAACATAACTGATTGTTGGAATACATTGTTACAAAAGCTTGTGTTTCTCATGATTAAAGTAACCTTAGAAGCCACTAGGTAGAAGAAATCTTGTGTAGATTTTTCTATTGCATTTATAACAGAGGCTTGCAGCAGCAGCTTTTAATTACACAGAAGTGGGACCCTAATAACTTGAGATATTAAGTCATTACTTTTGATTTTATAGTAATTTGTGCTTTAAAATAGATAGTTATTTATATTGCACTTCATGTTACTCTTTGTATTTCTACCGGTAGCTTGTTTCATATTAATATTTTTCCTCTTTAGTTTTGTTTTACTTCACTGTCTGTAAATATAGTTGAGTATTTTTTTCAGTTGATGTACTGATTGGGCTTGGCTTGCTGTTACACAGCATCTGACAAGAACTGTACCTTGAAGATCAGGTTGTAATTCTCAATTCTGTGTTGCTGTTGGTCTGAAGAGATGAAACTTGCTTTGGGGGAATGTTTGATTATTATTATTACCATTACCCTTCTCTAAAATGAAAAAAATAGTTTTCTCACTAAAACATACCACTTGTGCAGGTCTTTATGTTAGACAGATTCTAAAAATTGTTAGTATTGACACATTAACTTAGATTTCTCTTTTTGGGCCACTGACCTATATAGAGTTGAGTATTAATGTTGCATGTTTTTTTTTTTTTTAACTTGAACTGACTTCTCTAACTCTCATAACTGTGAGCTTCAACTGGCAAGAAAATGCATCTTTTTTATCTGTGTATCACAGTAGGCTGTAGCATGTTTATGACTGGTTTCTTCTATTCAGGGGGCTTTATACCGTAACTGTTAATCATTATTTTAACTTGGCATGTATAGCATTGCCACATAGAGTAGAGAGTTGCAAAATTTGATAGCTTATAGTGTGAAACACTAAAGATATCCAAAGTCCGTTTAGAATTTTGTGTGTGGTATATTGCTATTTTAGTGATGTGTGGCCTTTTATTCTGTAATTTCTCTTCTAAATAAAATGTTGAACATACAGTAAACACAAAACCTGCCTCATTTGAAAAGAAATTTCAGAATTCCAATTAGTAGTTGCCTCTAGAGTGCTTTTGTACTTTACTATTTGTCAGTAGTGTCAAATACCTACTCTGTTACCAAGGTAGCTCCTTCGTAAACCCAGTAGCTACTCAATGTTATTTGTACTGAGCAAAGCAATGCTTATTAGCATAATACTTCCCGTTATTGATTAATACAGTAATGATACATTTGGCATTGTGGTAGCCATTTATATAACAAATAGGGTAATGATTGTTTGCAATATCTTGAAACAAATATCCGTAGCAGAGTCTTACCAAATTTTTTTCCTGATGGTAAAAGTAATAGATGTTTATGATAATCCAGGGTGGTTGATTCCTTAGAGACTTTGACCACAAACCTTAGAGATAATTGAGTCTTGAGTCCCCAAGCTGTATAATGTTAATATATTTTAAATTAGTTATTGTTTGTCTTAAATTCAGTAAACTGCATTTAAAAAGTCTTTGTTAAACTATTTGAGCTTCAAGAAAGGTGCTGTTTAAGAAAGGATTTCTAATAATTATATTAAAAAAAAAACATGCTAAGTAAAAATACTTCTATATTGTCTGATCCTGGAGCTTTATCCACTAAGAATTATAGACAAGTAACCATAGGGGGAAAAAATAGTAATTTCGTTAAGTAGTATTCTGTTTTGGTCATCAAAGAAGCAATTCCATGCTAAACATTATTTATAAGCCTTTAAAAAAAAACTTTGTTCGCTGTTTTTACAATAGAACAGATATGTGAAGGAGTTGAAGTGAGAGATGACAATCAGATTTTATTTTCAGAATATAAATAACATTTAGAAAATGATCAAACAGCATTAATTGTACCTCATCTGCCTTTGCATCTGAATAGTACACCAATCAAATGATCCTTTCATTACATTTTTAATAGTTGTGCAACCTTTAGTTTTTACTTTGAACAACTCTGTTTTCCTAAAAGTCAACTATTTAATTCTTTACTGCCAAATTGATAATAGTTACGTTTGAGCTTACAGTTTACCTCAAAGTGTGTTTGATTTAATATCCTCTTAAAGATATTTAGTTTGTTTTTATTGCTTGATTGGCAATATATGAGAAATTTTTTCATGATTATTTCATGTGAATTCTTTTTCTGGGTAAACCATCTGCCACAGAAATTGACACTGCAGAGCGATTAATGTTAAAGAGCTTGTAGAGAAGCTACTAGGTTGCTTTAAAACATTTTTAAATTACTCTATAGGTAGTGAGTTCATAGAGCATTGTAGTTTCTAAGTTTCTTAATCAGATCCCTCACAGAAGTTTCAAAGAATTTGTCTTATAAATCCATCTTTGCACAAGTGTAATATTGATTCATATTGGCTTTGCCTAATGGCCTTTGATTCTGTACTCAGTGGAAGATATGAAACTGAAAGTAAAAATTTCTTAATATTGGGGACGGGAACACACTGGGCTTCTCATGTTTTCAGTAGTAGTAATTACTGACAGTTCTAATTTGTTTTCAGGTTAGTGTGTGGAACAAATTAGTATGGTTTTAGTAGTTGATTTTGCTTTACTCTGGGTGGCAGTATTTTTCATCACACTTTGAACCTTTAATTTGAAAAATTCCATCAGCAAGGTTGGAGAAAGGAGTTGTTGAGGGGTTTTGTTTGTTTTTATGTACTGGGGGGAGTGGTGGGATTGATTTGTGTGTCTGCCCCGCCCCCCTTTTTCAAGCAAATTCCTGTTTACCAAAAGCACATGCTGTATATTTTGTTCCCCCTTTGTGTGTTTATAGTATTTTGAAGGATAAATGAATTGGGTATTTGTATGTGGGTATATTAAGTTATGGCTGCTCTCTTTACAGAAGGGAAAAACAAATGAAGTTAATGCACTTCTTTTCCTAGCTCAGAAGTCACTGTGATGTATATTTTTTTAATGAAATTTAGGAATAAAGCTGTTGTTGCAATTGTATAATTAGTTTCAAAATGCTGCTTCTCTTATCATTAGAGTCTAGTAACTGTTAAACTGTTTTCTGCAAACTGCATTTTACAGAATTTAAACTCTGAAACTATCAACTTTTATAGTTAAACATTGTATAAAATAAACTATACTATCATAAACAGTTTGTTTTTGTATTTTTTAAATCATTGTATTAGCTTATTCGGCCTTTATTTTTATTAAAAGCTAAATAATGAAGATAAATCAATTAAAATAATACTTTTATTTTACCCACAGAAATTGTATTAGGAAAAAACTGAGCAAAGAGTTTAACAATGTTGAACTTCTTTTAAGAATTTAGCCAGCAGTGACAATTTCCAGGTTTAGGAATAAGTTCTAGTGTAACTGTTTAATCATAGTGCTTCACATTGCAGGGTGTCTTTTGCCTCAGCAGACTTTTAAGGTTATACATGGAATTTGCATTTCTGTCAACTGGAATGCTACTATTTGCTTTTTAATTCCTCCAAATTTCTCAGCAGCAGGAACACTGTATTATATTCTGTGCCTGCCAGCTTTAATATAACACTTACCATTGTAAAGCCATATAAATGTTAATTGAGTTTGTAAAACAGATTGTCTAGTTTTTGGTTTCTTGTTTATTTTTGGTTTTATTTAAATTAGACATATTTAGGGAAAATTAACCTAGTTAACTTGAGAGTTAGTCACTGAAAATATATATGCTTAAGTAAAAACGTTCTGACCATTCAGTGGTTTATATGTGTTAGCAGGTGAATATTATTAAACTCTCAAATTCTGGAGTGTTTTTAAATGTTTTATTAAGCCAGGAGAATATGTAAAATGTGAGTGCTTCATATTGACTGTGCAAATTTGTTATTAAAATACTTTTAGTTTCAATGTGCTTTTTCTATTTTCATTGCTTTCTAGGTTTCTTTCCTAAACATACTTCCTAACCTAGTACTGTGTTTCTTTTTTAAGTGTGGATTCATAATTTTTACACTTCCCCCACCCCACCAAGTCCTCTCAATACCCAAAACGTCCTAGTTCCAGTTTACATCTTTGCCACAAATTTTAGCTATGGTTTCTTTTATCAAATTACCAGATCAGAGCAGTTGTGTACTAATAGGTGCAGGTTGTACAATATTAAGAATATACTTAATGCCACTGAATATTCTTAAATGGCTAAAATTATACATTTGGTTGTGTATGTGTTTTATCAAAATAAAAAATGGAATCTGACTTAATCTTGAATGGGGACGAATCAGATCAGACATAATTGTACTTAGATGAAAAGCAGCTTTATTAACAAATTATAAGCATATAATTCACTTGAATTTGTAGCTCATAATATTAGCTGTGACTTAGTCTTCTTAAAAATAAACTTTTTTCTACCATGTAAAACCTAGCCTTCCCTTAGACTTTTGAAAATTATTATATTTTGATCCCTGAGAGGTATAAAAAGGGAGCTGGACTCCAGTGATATCATTTGCCTGATAGCTGGGTCTTAATACACCTCTGTCCACAAAAACTGGCCCACCACCACCTCCAGGTCCTTCCTGTACAGCTTTTACAAGAGGATAAATATACTTGTTTGTTGATTCAGACTCAGATTCAATTACTTCTCTGGCATAATCCTGAAATTCCTTCTCTTTTTCAGCCACAAGAGCTTCAGTAAGTCTGCAGTACTCTAATTCTGCTTGTTTTGCTTGCAGTGCATTAAATTTATTTTTGGCCTATTTGGGAAGGAAAGAAAAAATACACTTTGTATTAGTAAAAAAAAAAAAATCAATTTTCTAAATATATGTAGCATTTGAAGTTGCAGATAGAGCTTTCTAAACTCGATATTTGACAAGTCCTGACTTAACAACTATATAGTATAATTTATTTCATAAATTCTCCCATGCTTCTCACAACAGTATCATGTTCAAAGTAGTAGCTCAGTATTATGTGATGGTACATCTTCAAACAATGCAGCATGAAATTAAAAATCAAATAACCAAGTTTAAAATCCTGTTTCTACCATTTAGAGGATGTGTACTTTGACAAGTGTAGAAGACATAATCAATCCCAGTCCCCATTCACCCACTATTCTGAAGGAATGCACCCAAACCCACTGTCCCAAATCAGCCAGATATACCATGTGACTCAGCCACATAAGATTAAGTCAGCAATGAATATCTGAATTAAGTGGTTAAACCAGTTACATTCTCTTTCCTAAGAATTTGAAGTTGGAACAAGTGACATTTATCAATGTTGGAGCTAGGTAGAAATAAGCAATCTACCTACCAAAAGCCAGTTTACTAACATTCCATATTTTTTTTCTTTTAACTTTATAATTTACAAAACGATTGTTCTTTTAACTGCTTATATGAAGTGACTAATGGGTTTTTTAAGATTTCTATAAAGTTTTGGTTGACACCTTTTCCTTGTGTCTTCTCAGAAGCATTTTAAGAAATGCTGAGTTTATCAAAAATTAAGATTTTGTCTACTTATGAATATAGTATTCATGAAAATATATTTCAAACTCAGTAACCAACACTTCAGCATAAAATAGTAGCTTAAACCTGATATATCTACCAGGAATTGAAATTTGTGAGGAAATAAAACAACCATATGAATACAAAATAGCAAATTTTTGTTAGTGCTATGTTTCAAAACAGGCTTTCATGCTATATGTTGAATAGGGGATAGGATACTAGGAGTTTGAAAAATAGAAAATGA